GATATAATCATCGCACCCCTCACAGCTTTATGTCCCCCAAACTGGCTCTACGGGTAAGAAAAAAGGTCCATCATGACTGCCCTCAGGGATGACTTGTAGGGGACAGGACTCTGCCTCGCCCCTCTGGTTAGAGCAGGCCCCAATCCTACTGTTGCTGGTGTTTGCTTTCATCTGTCCCAGTGAGCCAGAGAGGAGCAAGGGAACAACAGAGAAAATGCCAGAATCGCAGGGAGGACAGTGCAATTCCACCAGCCGCCAGTGGAGCGGCCCCAGTGAGCACTTCCCCTCCTGTGGGCAGCCCAGGACAGACAGCTCCTAACGACTGTGCTAGTGCCACCACAGCTCTACACTCTGCCACTTTGGGAGGGGTGCATCCTCCAATAGGCTTAACGAGACTTATAGAACAATGGGCTTGACAATGGGAATGCCACCAGGGCAACCAAACTAAACTTCGAAGATGTAGAAGCAGGTTAATATGGGACGGCTAAATGGGCGCACCGCTTCGTTTCCCACGGAGGTGGAGAGAGGGTCGAGGAAATTCTGTTGCTGGGTAAAATATGGCTCTAAAGGGTCATTTGTTTCTCAAGATTAATTTTGCCAATTAATTAGAATAATTACCTTTTTAGCTCTGTAGCTTAATTACACTTACTTGCTTATGCAAGCAATATATCAAAAGAAAACTTATGGAATGCTAGGGCATTTTTATTAAAGCACTTTGCCTATGTGTGTCATTTAAAACTCATAACAGCACTATGAAATAAATGATACTGTCTTTGATACAGAGGGGAGGAACAGTGATGATAAGCAGGCTTTCTTAGCAACACACAGCTAGGCTGTTTCTTGGGTTTGATTTTGTTTCTGTTTTTGCAGGAACAACACTATATTACATGATTACAGAGTATGAGTAAGCAAGGATCTGCTCGACTGACTGATGCACCCATCCCTCAGCCAGCTGCCACCTTTGGGGATGGCAGTCTTCCCAAGCAACACCAGTGCGTTAGAAGCAGAACCTGAGATCAAGACTTGAGTGCAACTCATTTTTGGAGGAACCATCCTAACACTAATAGAGCAAAGTGAGGCAGGAGAAGGGAAGGAGGTTATAAAAGCTGTGGTAATGATCAGGTTTCCTTGGCTAGTGGAGCTGTCCTGCTGGGCACCTCTGAGAGATGGGCGGGGACATACAGGAGAGCTGCACTACCTCAGGCTGAGCTGTCTTCCAGCTCATATTTGTCACCGAAGGAGGGCTGCTCTAGTAGACACAAACTTCCCTGCACTTCTCGCCTGTCCTGCCTATTGGCCAGACAAGTTCCCGTGGCTACAGCAGAGGGAACAGGGCCTTGACTTGCACTCAGAAGGGTGGGCTTGGAGGGTGGGGATTGGACGCTTGGGTGGCAGTAGCATCTGCTCCGGCCAACTAGCGTAAAGTTATGCAAATCCACCTTATCACATGGTGGGTAAAATATGACTGGTCTTGTGGTCTATGAGGAATATCTCATATCTTTACACTGATTTGAGTAAATGAATTGTAATGGTTGCCTAGCAGATTTCACAGATATGCTACAATTTATTAACTGATTGTTTCTAATTCTGTTCCCATAGATCCTTAAATGCACAACTGTGACCTGTCTTGTTCATTAAGTGTTAGTTCGAAGTATTGACTGTTCTCTGGCAGGGTCTCTACAGCTCTATCAAGCAAGTTCAAACAAAAAACCCTACTTCACACAGTGAAAGGAAGTGCTACAAACAGTCCAGGCCCACCTTCCTCCCAATTACCAAGCAAGTTTCCGACCGAGGTAGCACATTATGATAGAGGAGAAGCTAGCTCAACACTACTTGCTGATTTTGATCACAAATCAAAAGGAAAGTCAGGTGGTAACTATTTCATTTCTGTGGTAAAATGATGTTCTTTCTGGTAGGATTCAGAAGTACATGCATACGATAATGTAAAGGAGCTAACACAGTTCTGGCACATGTATTAGAAGCAGCACTTGAGTATTTCATTAACTATCTAGAATTTCCTAGCTGAGGTTATCCTACAACCTGAAATATTTGTCTGATATTTAAGTCACTTCCTTTAACCTGTCAGTTACTAAATAATTATTTCTGTTCAAGTAATTTGGCATTTGAGCGTATTGTCTCCCTTGTGTTTACAATAAACTGAATAGTTAAAAGCTGCTGAATATTTCTACTTTATATCTAGGATTATGATAAAATCTTTGGCATGCGAAGTCTTATGAGAAAACAACTTTTTGATGATTTACATCATTAGTATCTCTGTAACCCAACTTCTTCCAAAGCATATGACTTTATAATCATTGGAACAATTTCTAGGTCCTTACTGAGGTCTTCCTCAGTGAGATATAGGGTAGCATTTTAAAGCATACAAACGTAAAACTGAAGTTGTAGCCCTAGTAAAATTGAGTAAAAATTGAGTAAAAAACTGAAGTTGTAGCCCTAGTAAAATTTGTGCATAAACCCTGCCTGGGTGTTATGCACAAATCCTAGACGAGCATTTCTAGGAGTGTAAGATGTCCTGTGGAAGAATGCAGACTAATCCCAGTTCCTTAATTCTGCACAGTAAATGTTGTGCAGATGTGGCAGGCAGAGTAGCAAAAGGTTTCCTTCTTCTACAGTGCAGGACTTAAAACTGCTTCTGCGAAACCTGGAGTTCCTAGAAGATGTGGCCTGGGCTATACAGGTGGGGCTGGGCTCTGGGTGAAAGCTGGAGACCAGCAGGAAGGGACCAGTGAGCGCCCAGCTAGTCCTCCCGGTCTGTTTTATACATGGGGCTCCTCAGCAAGATACTGTTTGGAAAAAAAGCTGTGCTACTGCACAACAATAGTTAGTATCTTTATTTCCAAATGCAAGTAAAATCTATTAAACGACTGGGCTGCTTTCTTTACACATGGCTATAAACATTTTATCTTATTTTTCCAGTTTGCTTTTATTGAGCCAATCCTAAGATTGTAGTCTTGGGAAGAAAGCGATGAAGCCCGTGGTAGAAACTTTGCTTGAAGAGCCATCTCTAATTGTACCCTTACGAGGGTTGCATGAAATTAAATATTACCCTCTCTCTACTCTCCACACCTGCCCAGCTCAGGTGCTGAGTCAGAGACTTCCTTGATTGCTCTCCTCTAGCTTGAGAGAAAGAACAGGAGTGCTTCAAGCCAATAACGCAGTGTTCAGTGATCTGTTGTTCTTCAAATCTGAAAGGATTAACTTTGGATTTGCTGTGTACCCTGGGGAGAAATCATTGCAGAAGCAATACAGAGCGTATGACCTCATGTACAATATTATTGAGCATCCCAGCCCCATTGCCTGGCTACTGGTGCATCTTAACACCTGGTCCAGGGTGGTTGATTAGGGGTTGATTTGGCCACACTTACCCAGAAGCCCAGGGGCCCATCTAAGATTTTCCAAAGCATTGAGCACCTCGATGCCCCTTTCCACCAACACAGCACAGCTATTTTTACCTAATCGCCAAGGATAACGTGCTTAATATGTCTGTGTTGGTACTCTCTTATTAGTTAGGAGACCACATGGGCAGGAGTGTCTGTAACTTTTGTCAGTTATTCTTTTGAAAACTGGTCAGAGTATCAGTAAAAATAGCACTTCCTGTGACTCATCAGTTGGGGCACCTTTGCTTTAGACTAGGAAAAGCTCACTAAACCAATATATTAAAGGTTCATTTCATGAGAGGCAAATTTTGTAGATATGCAGTAGAAAAAGAGTTTCTGTAGTCAATTGTATTAGGAAATATGGTCTCTCTCTTGGTGATTCAGAGTGTGCATTAGAAAGACAAAATGCTGGGAAGTATTCCTTGAGTTTATTTCTTGATCATAATTTTTAATTTCTTCCTTTCCGTTCCTCTTTCTTTTCCTTCCTCTTTCTCCTTTTCCTTCTCCTTCCCTTATCTTTTTACTCATATTAAATACTTAAGAGTCCATGAGAATATTTTTTGAAAACATTGAATTTAAACCTGAATATTTTGGAAAACACTGAATTTAATTTAGGGCAATTTTAATTTTTTCTGCAATTTCAGAACCAGGACCATGCATGGTACAAGGTGCATACTCAGTGGTCATTTGTCAATGGAAGTGAACAGGAGAGAAAAGTATATTAATAGGAACCCAAAAAATACATGGGACAGTTGTCTGAAAATCACACCACTTACTTGATGAAAAGTGTATGAGAGTTTTATAGAAGTAAACTACATTAACACCGAATTCCATTAATCCACTTTGGGCATATGGATCAGAATCACAAGACGCAAGGTTGGGGACGAATCTCGGTAGACATCCAGCTATCATTTAATATACAGGACACAGACACGGATGAGGTATTGGCTTTTGTAGATGTCAAGAGAGTATTTCCAGCAATTTAGGTACATCAGTGGGGATATGAGCTTTCGCTCAAGCCAGGTGGGCTCACACCCTGCTTCTGCCTCTCACCAGCTGAGGGGATGTGGGCACATGTAACGTGCCTCAGTTTCCTCGTTAGCAAACAGTGATGACACACCCTTCAGATGGCCACTGTGAGGGCTTAATGTGACTAAGCAGGTGGATGGCCGAGCAGAATGTCTGGGATTGGGAAACAGTATGAAATATTGCTGTATTAAATATATTATCAGGCAGAGTTGTACAGTCAACATGAAATTAGAGGTGACGACAAATCTAGAGAGGACGTAGGAAACCTTAAAGGCTGTGGAAATAGTTTGGGGGGTTGCACAACTGAGGTCTCCCTATGGACAGCGCCTGATCACGGGTGGCATTCTGGAGATGTTTTTGATTTTATTTGTGGGGACAGGCAGTTGTGGTTTGAGGGTGCGTCTCATAAATCCTCCTGGTGTAGTGTGGTGGGGGCGCTCTGCAAATTATGTCGGTGCAAGCAGAACCCTTCTGTTTAACCAGGAACCCCTAAAACCTTCATTTTTCCACAAGAAACCACAGACGGAAGGAAACTCTCTCTGCAGGGCTGACGGTGAGGTTTCCATTCCCTACCTGAAGGGATAGGCGAAGGCTATGTCGATGCTGAGGTTACTTTCCGTCTTGTTGACGCAGTCCACACTCAGCCGCAGGCCTCCGGAATAGCCACCGCATGTTGCAAATGCAAAGATGGCAAAAAGCTGTGAAGAACAAAGTGAAAAGAGAAGGCAGCTATTAGGGTTGCGATGATCTAATGAGAGACATAAGGAGGCGCTTAGTATGTGGATCCAGGGAGGCTGCGACCCTACAGGAGAGCAGCATCTTACCTGCACAGGCTGGTAAGCAGAGCAAGAGTGCTGTTGGGGCTGCGGGGTGTATTTATGCACCACCCTCCCCCAGCTTTTGCAGAGATGCGCGTGATAGTTCCACATGTGCATTTGTCTGGGACAAGAGCCCAAGGTGTGAAGCCAGCAGGTGAACACATAAGGTGGGGAGGCCTTGTCCACTGTGGCCACCTTACTGTGCCTTTCATGCGCCATGCTTTGTGCCCACACTGAACACACGTGATCAGGTTTCCTTGGACAACAGTGGTGTGTGTGCACTTATGAAGCTTGATGTTCCTATGTTAAAGATATGGCAGGACCGCATAATCACTTCAAAAAGCTGCATGTAAAACATTCCTTTAGGCATTAAAATGTGGCAAGTTAAAATTGAAGGACATGAACACAAATCTTGTTAATTTCAGAGCTTGATCGCTATAAAGAAATGATTTGGCTTTTCATCCTCTGTTAAAGTGCTTTATTTACAGGAAGGTATTATTAACACCACCATGTAATGAACTTAAGATGGAAAGATAATTATGTATTTAACTACTTCAAAATGTTAGATGCCTGGAAAGGAGGCATTAGGATTAATGAAACCACATACACGATTATTTTTTCGTTTAGCCATTACTGAGCTCTGAAAACCCAAAATGTTGTACTCCAGTTAAATATGATACCTGTGGCTTTCTGTTAAGTCTCCCCCTCACAGTCCTTCCTGATTAAAGGGAAATCATACTGTGTGACCAGTATCGAATTCACATGTGGCTGGTGAGGATTAAACTGATAATGTCTGTATAACACTGGAAGAGTCAAATCCTGCTGAGTGAGTAACTTATTACAGGCATGGATACTTCCGGATTTGAGGCAGTGAAATCAACCCCTCCAGAGTAGATCAGCCAGGGTTGGCTCCTGCAATTAGAAGAAGCTGGGGCGAGGTGGAGGGAGTCTGCTGGTGTGCGGAGAAATGCAGAGTGGGAGCAAACTGGGGAAGTCCTGGCCCTGCACCCCTGCGGCGCCCTACCCAGACACCTCAGTAGAGAGGGTAGAGTTGAGCGTGAGCCTGGTTCTACCTGGTTCTAGCTTGCACAAGTTACTCCACTGATCCAGCCCTCACCCCACACATCTGCAGAGTCGAGACTAACTCGCTGATTCATTCTGCAGATGTTTGATGGTGTACTTACTATGCACCAGCTGTTGGGGTATAGAAATGTAAGGAGGAGTTCAGAGAAAAGACAAAGACAAAGACAAAGAAGTTCCCTGCTCATCAGGGAGCTTAATGCTGGTTAGGGGAGAGAGAACTAAAAATAAAATAATTACAAGTGTGTGAGCTACTTGGAGGGGAGAGTATCCTAGATTGGAAGGTATGCCTGAGGGTGTTCCATTTAAGGTGAGACCTGAAGATGGTGGTGGAAACCATGCAAAAAGTGTGGGAGGAAGCTCTGTGGACAAAGGGCGCAGCTCGTGTGACAGCCCTCAGGGAGGGGAACCTGACCTCTCAAGGAGCCCACAGAAGGCCGGTGTCACCCCTGGATGGTGAGAGAAGTTGAGAATAAAGCTAATTAACCTCACATGACTGCTGTACATAGGACCTAAGAGAACGCACGTCAGAGCATTAGGCTCACAGCCCTCACTAAATGTTAAAATATCTTCTCCTTCTTTGCCTTCATCTTCCTTTCTTCTCCCCCTTCTCCTCTCCCTCCTCCTTTTATTTCTCCTTCCTCTCCTTCTTCCCCTTCCGGCTCCTCCTCTTCCTTCCTCTTTCTACTTCTTCCTCTTCTTCATACTACGAATGTTCCTGTGACTATTGCTACTACCTTGAAGAAAGTGAGACTGAGGAGGAAAATACACTTGTCTCAACTCAGTTAACAGGAGCATTGGCACGAGGACCCTGGTCTCCAGACGCCCTCCGTCAGTGTTCAGATTGGCTCTCGAGTTGCAAAAAGCAAAATATTTTTGCCAGGTGAGTACAGTTGACCATGAGATGGTCCAGGATTTGCCCAGAAGGGCACAGGAGATGCTTTGTTGATGGAGGGTCTCTGTGTTTCCTGAGTGTCTCACAAACATACCTGCACCTCACTACCAAAGGGAGAGCTTTGTCCTCTCTTTCTCATCCGTCTCTTTCTCATGCCCTCACTCCCTTCCTCATTTCTCCCTGGATGGGGTGGAAGCATTTAAGAGGACCTCTGGAGACGGTATAAAGAGACAAAGCCCATGCTACCCTGGCAGCTGATGCCCTGTGATGTCACTGGTGTCGGCCAGAAGAAGGTTGGCGCGTCTTGCACACCCAGGTTTTATGACACTAATGCCAGTTCATCCGGCTGACAAGTCCCCTCCCGGGAGATGTCAAAGAGGGGACGGCTGTCTGTTATGCAGCTTAGAGAAAGTGAAAACTGGGTGTGAATTCTAGAAGGCTAAGGAGGGAAGAACTCGCAGGGGCCGGGTGGGTTAGAAAGAGGATGGGAGAAAGGGAGAACGAGCTCCACTGACGCTAACGCTCGTGACTACAAGCAGCTTGATCTAAAGACAGTCGTGTGTGTGTGAGTGTGTATGTATGTGTGTTTGTGTGTGAGGCATGTGTGTGTGTATGTGTGTTTGTGTGTATTTGTGTGTATGTGTTTCTGTGTGTGAGTGTGTGTGTGGTAGTGTGTGTGACTGTGTATGTTTGTGTGTGAGTGTGTATGTATGTGTGTTTGTGTGTGAGGCGTGTGTGTGCGTGTGTGTATGTGTGTTTGTATGTGCGTGTGTATGTGTTTCTGTGTGTGTGTGTGTGTGTGTGTGTGTGTGTGCGCGCGCGCGCACTATTTTTCTCCAAACTCTGGGCCCTGTGATTCATCCTCAGCCACACAGTGCCTTCCTTTCTAGACATTGAAGGTGTAACCCTGGGGCAGAAGTCCATTTGCCCCTTCAAGTGGAATTATAAAACTTGCCACCTTCCCTCAGGCCCCCAGTTTCCCCAAAACAAAGCAGAAACCTCACTCTCTAGCACGTTTCAGATAATCAGTGTTAGAACCTGTGGCCCAACCATTCACCTCCCTTGAGTTCAGGAGACCAAAATAAATCTACAGCCATCTCTCTTTTCACTACTGCCTTGGATGATCTATGGCTTTGTTCCTGACAACAAAGAATTACTCTCAAAATGGACAAAATTATCCAACAGAGAGTTCCTTTGTTTGTAGCCGGACTATAAATACACTCAGATAAAAGAGAACAGAATTGTTCTGCGTTTTCTGGCTTAATAAGTGTCCATAAACGATAGTCACCTTAGCAGGAAGGGTGCTCTTTACAGTTAACACCACCGAAGGTTTTCCCTTGGAAAAAAGGCTCAGCTCCCTTCTTGGAACTAATTGAACCAAATGAGGAATACTAATGAAAAATGCTATTAGTGTTTTTGGTTAGTTTGCAAGTCACAGTGGAAAGCAATAGGTTGGAGGCGGACAGGAAACAGGGCTGATTAATGGCTCCTGCAGGGATCCTGGTCTGTGAAGCTAGGGAGGGGACGCCGCCTCCCAAGGCCTGGCACACAGCCGCCTGCAGAAGGATGTCCTAGAAGAGACACATGGGAGTAAGGAACTGGTCGGAGGTAGGGAAGTTGGAACCCAGCAGCGCCGCACATGCTAACAAGCTCTGTGAGCTAACCACCCGCTCTCCCAGGGAGAAAGCTGTGATGTGTAGCTTTTGCCAGTCTGCATAGTGTAGTATTCCCTTATGGACAATTCCAAGCTACCAGGATATCACCTCTGAGCTTGGGCTGGGATCTGCAAACTCATGGTGCTCCAGCAGGCCACTCCCACCAAGGGACGCCCTGAGGACAAGGACCTTTGCTGTCTTTGGGCTCATTCCCATCAGTTGCAGGCTTTCTTTCCTTCCCTCATTTACCTGCTCTGTGACTTACACACTTCCGTAGTTAGTTACTGTAGTAGATGCTGTCGATGCTTGTTATTGCTGTATGCCTTATTCCACTCTAGGGCCACCTGCAGCTTCAGGGGACAGTCCTCACACTCAGGAGGCTTCTGCCAGCACAACCTGCATCTCCTGGCCAAGGACTGTCTCACAGAGACAGAAGAGAAGCCCCTAACACTCTCATTTCCCCTTTGGGCTGGAAGGGTTGTAGCTCAGCCAGAGGCTGCCCGTCCTGCCCCTAGCTTCCCTTTGCTCCCCTTGCACCCTGGTGGACTGGGGCAGTTGCTGCAGTATCTTCTCCGGCCATTCTCCCCTCCAAGGTGAGCGCAGCCCCCCATCTACTTCAGAAAACAGTTGCATTTCTGAAGAATGAGAGGGTCCCCAGGAGTGGCTAAAATCAGGTAGGGGGGATCCAGGTCCTCTATTTGCATACACAACGTTCACAGCAAACTTTCCAAAAGATTCTCTGGCTTGAGGCCTCACCCTTGCTGAAACAGGTCTGCAGCTGCTACGTAACAAGCATTTCTCAGACACTTCTCAGGTTCTGGCCCAGGAGGGCTCCCTGCTGTGTACTGGCTGCTCTGTGTGGCAGCACAGGTCCTGTCACAACAGGTCCTGTCTCAGGTGTGTAGGTTCCAGAAGTCCTGTAAAATGATTTGTGACTTTTATCCTGAGTAGTGAGGACAGACAGGGAGGCCAGTTTCCAAAGAAAGAAAAATGAACAACCAGACCTATAAACACCCAAGACCTCCAAAGACCGGCAGCCAGTGAGGACCAGTGGCCTACTAGAATCAGTCTGCAAGTGTCCAGCACAGACTGGCACCAGAGGCGGTACTGGACGGTGATGACCTGCAGCGGTTGGCTCTACCAGCTGTTGGCATCCAGTACTACCTGCTGTCATCTGGTGACATCAGTACTGCTGGAAGAGCCCACCTGGCTGAGTCACTTTTCCATCTGAATCAAGCAGAAGAACCCAG